CCAGGCATGGTGGCATGCCACCGCACTCCAATCTGGGCAACAGAATGAGACACTGACCTATAGAGGTGGGAAGGGGGAGCAGAAATTAAAGAAAAAGGCAATAGGGGAAAAAAATGAATCCAAAAGCTTTCTGTTTAAGAATATCCATAAAACTGAACTTCCAACAAAACTGATCAAGAAAAAAGACAAGACACAAATTACCAGTGCTAGGAATGAGAGAACTAACATCACTAGTCTAGATATTTAAAAGATAATAGGCCGGGCTCGGTGGCGCAACCTGTAATCTCAGCACTCTGGGAGGCTGAGGTGAGTGGATTACCTGAGCCCACGGGTTCGAGACCTGCCTGGGCAACTTGGCGAGACCTCATCTCTACAATAAATCAAAAAAATTAGCCAGGCGTGGTAGCGCGTGCCTGTAGTTCCAGCTACTGGAAGGCTGAGGTGGAAGGATCACCGGAGCCCAGCAGGTCGAGGCTGCGGTGGCAGGGAACGGCCACTGCACTCCAGTCTGGGCAACTGAGTGAGACTCCAACTCAAAAAAAAAAAAAAAAAGGTAACAAAGGGATATTTTCAACAACTTTATGCCTAAATTGTACAACATGCAACAAATAGACAAATTCCTCAAAAGACACTATAATAGGCTGGGCACAATAGCTCATGCCTATAATCCCAGCATTTTGGAAGGCCAAAGCAGGGGGATACACTTAAGTACAGGAGTTCAAGACCAGGCTAGGCAACACAGTGAGAACATCTCTCTACAAAAAAACAAAAAATTCAGCCAGACATGGTGATACGTGGCTGAAGTCCCAGCTATTCAGGAGGCTGAGGCAGAAGGACCACCTGAGCTCAGGAAGTTGAGGCTACCATGAGCCATGATGGTGCCACTGCACTTCAGTCTGGGAAACAGACTGGGACACCAACTCAAAAGAAAGAGAAAGAGAGAGAGAGAGAGTCTCTATAGTAGTTTGATTGCTGCTGTAACCAATTACCACAAGTTTAGTTGCTTAAAACAATGCAAATTTATTATCTTACAGGTTAGAAGTCAGAAATCCCACGTTTCACTGAGCTAAAATCAAGGCATAGGAAGAAATAGTTGCTCTGCAGGCTGTGAAGGAGAATCCATTTCTTTGCCTTTTTCAGTTTCTAGAGGTCACCTGGATTCCTTGTCTCACACCACTCTAAACTCTTCCTTCATCACCACGTCTCCTACTACTGACTCTGATCTTTCTTCTGCCTCCCCATTATTAGAGTCCTTGTATAGGACTGGGCCTACTCAGATAATCCAGGATACTCTCTTCATCTCAAAGTCCTTAAATTTATTCACCTCTACAAAGTTCTTTTACCAAGTAAATTAACATATTCACAAGTTCTGGAGATTAAGACATGGACATTACTTCTAGAGGGTCAATATTCAGCCTACCACGGACACAAAATCTCACTCAAAAAGAAACAGAAAATCTGGCTGGGCACAGTGGCTCATGCCTGTAATTCCAACACTTTGGAGGGCAGAGGCAGGCAGATTTCTTGAGCCCAGGGGTTCAAGACCAGTCTAGGCAACATAGTAAGACCTTGTCTCTATAAAAAATAAAAATAGAAAATTTTCATAGTGCTTAGCTATACATATTAAAGAAAATGAATTTATATATAAAAAGTTTCCCACAAAGAAAATTCCAAGCCAAGATGCCTTAACTGATGAATATTACCAAAACATTTGAAAAAGAAATAATACCAATTATATACAAAACTCTTCTAAAAAATTGAAAAAGAAAATACATCCCCATGTCAAAATTCTGTTTGGACAGTATTATGGACTCATATGCCCCATGAACATAGATGTAAAAGTTCTAAACAATCTTTCAGTAAATCAAATCTAACAATATTCCAAAAAGAATAATAGTTATATATCATGACCACTGAGGTCAATCAGAGAGATGCAAGGTTGGTTTAATACTCGAATACCACTCAATACAATTCACCTATTAATAAATTAAAAAAGGAAAGTCTTGCAACCATCTCAAGAGACAGAAAAAGGATTTTACAAAACCCAACAATCATACTGAATAAAAAAACTCTCAGCAAACTAGAATAGAAAAGAATTTCTTCAACCTGATAAAAAGCATCTACAGAAGCCTACAGCTACAAAATACTTAAAGGTAAAAGAGTGAATGCTAAGAAACAAAAGACATCCAGATTGGTAAGAAAGATATAAAACCATCTTTATTCACAAGCTGCATGATTGTCAATGAAGAAATTCTAAGGGAATTTACAAAAAAGTTACTGGAATTAACAGCGAGACTGCAGTATACAAGTACAATATCCACGAATCAATTATATTTCTATATAGCAACTATCAATAGGAAACTGAAGTTGATAAAAACAATACCATTTACAGTAGTATAAAAAAATGAAAAAGACAAATCTGACAGATAACCTGAATGATCAGTACACTGAAAATTATAAAATTCTACTGAAATGAAAGAAAATTATAAATAAAAGAGAGATATACCATGTTGGAGGGTAAAAAGAGTCAATATTGTTAAGATGACAATTCTTCCCAAACTGATCTAGAGAATCAAAGCAATAAAAAAAAAAAAATCCCAGCATATTATTTTACAGAAATTTTCAAACTGAAGCTAAATTCAATTTCAATGCGAAGAACCTAAAACAGCCCAAACATTGAGAAAAAAATGAAACAAAGAAGACCAACATTATCCAATTTCAATATTCATTATAAATTATGGTTATCAAAGCAGTGAGGTACAAACAATTAGATCAATGGAACAATGCAGAGTCCAAAAATAGACTAACACATACATGGGACAAGTGATTTTATTAAAAAAGGTACAAAGGTAATTTAGTGGAGAAAGGACAGTATTTTCAAAAATGATGCTGAAACATGTGAATAGCCACGAGGAAAAAAAAAAAAAAACTTCTTCCATACTTCACATCATTTGCAAAAATTAACTCAGAATGAAGTACAGACCTAAAAGTAAATTCACAAAGTATAAAAACTTCTGGAAGAAAACACAGGAGAAAATGTTGGTAAACACTGCTTAGGCAAATATTTCTTAGATACAACTCTAAAAACATAATTCATAAGAGAATACACAAAGCAGATACTATCAAAATTAGAAATTTCTGATCTTTAAAATATACTGTTTTGAATATAAAAGACAAGCCACAAACTGGATGAAAGTGTTTATAATTTAAATAGCTAATAAAAGACTTGTATCTTTAATAAGTTGTTCCTAGGTATTCAAGGGGTATAGTTTCAGACGCCCGGGATTAGACCCCCGGGATACCAAAATCTACGGATGCTCAAGTTCTTTATATAAAATGGTGTAATTTTTACATATAACCTACACACACTCTCCTACTTTAAATCATCTCTAGGTTGTTTATAATACATAATAAAATGTAAATGACACGCAAATATTTGTTATACTATATTGTTTAGAGAATAATGACAAGAAAAAAAAGTCTGTACGTGTTCAGTACAGACGCAACCATCCATTTTATTCCAAATAATTTCTATCCATGGTTGGTTGAATTCACAGATGAAGAACCAACTGTATTTAAAGAACTTGCAAAACTCAATAATTTTTAAAAACCTAATTTAAAGAACAGGAAGATTTGAAAAGAACAAAATAAGGTATGCTGAAGGCAAATATAAGTGCAAGAAAAGATGCTCAACATCACTAGTCACTAGGAAAATATAAATTAAAATCATAATGAGATACTACTATACCCCATTAGAATAACTACAATCTAACAAGAATGATTATTCCAAGTTTTGGTGGGGATGTAGAAGAACTCAAACTCTTACACAGTGCTAGAGCAAATATAATACAGTATTATCTTTTTGGAAAACAGATTTAGTACAAATCTAGGCACATAAAAGTATTTAATAGATACCTCATGATTGAAAAATAAACTTAAAAAAGGCAAAGCAAAAAATAAATAAAAGAGAGCATCCACAGAAGCCTCTGGAGACACGGAAAGTATATAAAAAGTTTTCTGTAGAAATTGGTGTGCTTTGAGCAAAATAAGGAAAAAATTTCAGAACAATACCTAAAAGTATTATTTCTTCCGCTGTTTTAGATCTCTGGAAGAGGGATCTGAGACCCAGTGTGACTAAGACTTGTGACTTCTCAGACATAGTTGCAATATGCCATACCATGAGGAGGGAGAAGAAAGACTTGACCCTTTTCTATCTCAATAAGCCTTACTGTATTCAGTGTTCCTCTGTGCTTTAACTTGGAGTCATTTCAACTTGTAAAAGGGTCAAACAGTATATATATTTTAGGCAATGTGGGCTATACAGTCTCTTTAACAACTACTCAATTTGGTAATTTTAACATAAAATTGGCCACAAAAAATATGTAAATGAATAAGTATGGCTGTGTTCCAGTAAAACTTTATTTATGTACACTGAAATCTGAATTTCATACAACCTTCATACAAAATATTATTTTTTTAAACCATTAAAAGTATAAAAACCATCCTTAACTCATGGGTCATGCAAAAACAGGAGATAGCCTGACACAGTGGCTCACTCTTGTAATCCCAGCATTTTGGAAGGTCAAGGAAGGAGGGCTGCTTGAGCCCAGAAGTTTGAGACTAACTTGGGCAACATAGTGAGACTTGGCCTCTACAAAAAAAAAAAAATCAGAAAGAATTAGCTGCGCATGGTGGTGCACATCTGTAGTCCTGGCTACTGAGGAGCCTGAGGTAGGAAGATCAACTTGAGCCCAGAAGTTAAGGGTGAGGTAAGCTGTGATCATGCCAGTCCAGTCTGAGTGAAAAGAAAAGGAGGTGGCCCCATAGATCATAGTTTGCTGACTTGTACTTTGACTAGTTAAGCATTAATAAATATTTTTTAACTATACAAATATAACGTACTATTACTTATAAACATAAAATTTGTAAAATGCTGAGTTTGAAATAATTGCCATATATTTACAGAAATTTATACATATTGATATTTAGAATTACAGTACCTTTTCTCTGATATCACTTTTAACTTGCTCATCTTGAGTTACTTCATTTCACCATTGCAGACAATCTGAAAGAAAAGTATTCATGATATTAAACATTTATAATTCTGTTTTCTATAAAAGTTTTCATTATGCACAACGTAAGATAACACTAAAAACCAAAAAAGAATGGTTGATTTGTATGTGCTTCTTGTGGGTCACTTCAATGTGCCATGTATAACTATGAAAAGACCTAAAACCAGAGAGAACAGAGTATCTGGTTTCTGAGCGGGAACCTCTATACTGCCCACAGTTGAAAGAATTAAATACGGTTGATACTGAGAAAGGCAAGAAGATGTTCAGAAGTGTGCCCACGGAAAAGGGAGGCAACCACAAGACTGGGCCAAATCTCCATGGTCTCTTTTGACGGAAGACAGGTCAGGTCACTGGATTCTCTTACACAGACACCACTAGGAACAAAGAAGGCATCACCTGGCGAAGAGATACACTGAGGGAGTATTTGGAGAATCCCAAAAAGTACATCCCTGGAACAAAAATGATCTTCGTAGGCATTAAGAAGGTAGAAAGGGCAGATTTGATAGCTTATCTCAAAAAAGCTACTAATGAGTAATAATTGGTCCCTGCTTTATTTATTACAAAACAGAAATGTCTCATGACTTAATTTAATTGATCGTATACACCAGAATTCATATCACGAGTGGCTGACAGAATATTTTTGTTAGACAGTCCCAATTTAACTAAGACTGGCTGTGGTTAAGCGAACAGATCGGTTTTCTGAATTTTAATAGTAATTCCAATTTAATAAATGCTGTCACTGTTTTCCCCTTCTAAAGATAAGACTGTACTTGATTAGCAATGTTCAACTTTTCACAAAGATGGTGAATAACATCATAAAAATCTATTAGAGATTGATTTTATATTTAGATTTACATAACTGGTTATATGAATATATGTAAATACTGGAGAAGTCTCTTAACCAAGCAAGACTCACCTGTTTGGTGTTCATTATTAGTCACTTAAGAGGCAAGGACTGAAGATAAAGTAGCAATGTCTACTTTATATTTTTGGTCTTAACTACACCAATCCAATTAGAATTCCCTGTATCTAAAAATGCTGCCTTTTACTTATTAAAAGGTATTTTTGCGTGGTTTAGTGTAATATCAAATAGAGAATAATTAATGCTTATCACATTTTTATGGGTAATCTTTAAGGTCAGATTCTTTTAAAAGTCAGTGTGACAGAAAATAATAGCAAGTTAACCTTTACTTTTAAATTCTTTACTACCTAAATCAGACTAAGTTCTAATTTAGGACTGTCTCTAAACAGCCACCAAAAACATATAAAACTGTGGAACTTCTGTGTATGTATGAATGGGAATGGTGCTTTTGCCAACTCAGAAGGATTAAAGTAGAGGAGATATACACAAATCTACAAATTATGTATGAGCATAAGACTTAAGATCATTAAAAACAAATACACAAAAAAATAAAATAATATAAAATACCTAAAACCAGCCAGGAAAATGTTATCAAAATCCTGGAGCTACAAAAATTTAGAAACCTAGCATAATGTAGCTTGCAATCTAGTCTTAAGATTTCTTTTAAGACAGTTTAAATTATCTTTCCTGTTCTAATACTCTTGCTTAATATACTCAAACCAACATAGCATTCTGTGATCAGTATACTCATTGTCCACCATTCACACAGTAGTCAAATGCTGGTAAATATGTATAATTATTTCCATACAAGAACTTTTCTTCATTAGTAAAAAGCTTCTATGCACATCTTCCTACAATCAATACAGTTTTCATTTATAGAAAGTATACATGACACGTCTTAAAACAACTTAAACTAAGATTTAGAAACTACCTAGTTTCTAAAAAAACTGAGGAGGAAAGAGGAATGGATACTTTGCCCCCAGGACCCAGGTAACTAGAAACCTAGGGACTCGCAAATACCAAAGACGACAGAGGAAGACTGAGAAAAAGAGCTTACTAAAACTCTATAACTGCACATAGTAACTTCTTACCTCCTCAATACCTCCATGTCCCACCATTGTGGAAAATACTCAAAAGTCAAGCATCTAAACGCTGACAAATAATCTTCATTAAAGAAATCAACAACCTCAAAGAATTCTGCCTTCTACTTTCTAGACTTAAGAAGAGTCCCCAAGAAAAAAGGCCAGCTCTCACCCCCGTTACCCTAGGGCTAAATCAGTGTGTCTCTTACAGTCTGCTTTTTGTTACTGAAGCCTAAAGCCAAAGCACTTCAAGTAAACAAAAAAGTCCTCTTCCTTGGGGCAGTTTGTGTTCATTACAACAGAATATAATAGAAAACACAGACGCCTAATAAGCAAAAGTGATGCATCTCACCAAATTTAAGTATAACCTACTCTTTCTTCTTTCTTGGATCATGTTCATCACCATAAAAACATGTAATTTTCTTTACTTTTTTATTTTTGTTTACTTTTGCTGTTTTTTTTAATTGAGTTGGAGTCTCACTCTGTCGCCCAGGCTAGAGTGCCATGGCACACACGACCTGCTGGGGGGGCCAGCGATTCTCCTGCCTCAGCCTTCCAAGTAACCGGAACTACGGGCGTGTACTATCACACCTGGCTAATTTTTGATTTATTGTAGAGACGAGGTCTCATCAAGTTGCCCAGGCTGGTCTCGAACCCTAGAGCTCAGGCAATCCACTCGCCTCGGCCTCCCAAACTGCTGGTATTACAGGCTGAGCCACTAAGTTCGGCTGTTTTTTATTTTTCAGTCGGGACCTCACTATCAACCATGCTGGAGTGCAGTGGCACAATCACAGTTCACCACAGTCTCAACATCCTGGGCTCAGGCAATCCTCCCACTTCAGCCTCCAGAGTAGCTGCAACTACAGCATGCCAGTATATGTGGCTACTTTTTTTTTATTTTTTGCAGAGACAAGATCTACTATGTTGCCCAGGTCAGTCTCAAATTCTTGGGCTCAAGCAATAAGGGCTGGGATTACAAGCATGAGCCACTGTGCCCAGCCTAAATCGTAATTTCCATGTCTTTTTTCTTGCTCCCATTTTCTCAATCCAGCTACTGTCTCATTTCTCTCCTCCTGAAAGCAAAGACTTGTTTAGACACAATGTCAACAAGTCCTCTCTTCCTATTCTCCCTTTAAAATATTGCAATTAGGTTTTTTCTACCCCACTCCATTCACATTGCTCTTGTCAAAACCAATGACAGCCAGGCACAGTGGCTCACACCTATAATCCCAGAACTCTGGAAGGCCAAGGTAGAAGGATAGCTTGAGCTCAGGAGTTCAAGGCTATGATGAGCCATGTTCGTGCCACCGCACTCCAGCCTGGGTGACAGAGTGAGAGACTCCAACTCGAAAATTAAAAAAAAGAATGGCCTCCATGTTACTAATCCAAGTGCCAATTCTCAGTCCTCATCTTACTTATTCTATCAGCAGCATTTGTTACAACTGAACACTCCTCTTCATCTGGCGGTGCTCTGCTTCCTGCCTACTTCAATGACCACTTTCAGGTTTCCTTTACTGGAATGCTCAGTGCTCAAATCTTTCTTGTCCTCTTCAGCCTACTCTGTTGATCTCATCCAGTCTTGTGATTACCCAACATTTCCATTTGGATCTCTAATAATAACACCAACTCAACATATACAAAACTGACCTTCCCTACCAAGTATGCTCTACCCTTGCTTTCCCCATCAGAGTTAAAGACAATTCTCTCTCTCTCCAGTTGCTCAGTCCAAAACCTTAGCTTCATCTTTGTCTCCTGCCTTACACCCCACATCCAACCATCAAGGAATCCTGATAATTCTCCTTTCAAGATACATCCAGAATCTGATCGCTTGACCACATCTAGTCTCCTACCTTTGGCCGCCTTTGTCTATTCTCAACACAGCACCCTGAGTGACCCTCTTAAAACCTTGGGGAAAAGAGAAAGAAAACAAACAAACAAACAAAAATCCCTGGATAGATCTAGTCCCCACTCTGTCCAAGGCCTCGCACTGCTGTCCATTTCGGTGGCATGAAGGGCCCTGGGGGAACACACACAACCCTTTTCTCCCTGACACATCTTCTGCCTACAACTCTCTTTGCCCATCTTGCTTTCCTCCAATATGCCAGACTTTCTCCCACCTTCATGGCTTTGTGCAAGCCGCGTGGAATGTTCTTCTGCAAGATATCCTGAGGATTAATTTCATCACCTTCTTAACTCTAGTATCACCTTTTCAAAAAGCTCATCCCAGTCATCCTATTCGATATTCTAAACCACCTCCAGATCCTAGCAAACCCATTGCCCCTTGCCTAAATCTATTAGACTTTGTCTTCTTCCAGAGCACCTTACATCTAATACAGAATGATTCAAAAATAAACCCTTTGATTATGGTCTGAATGTCTGTGTCCCCCAAAATTAATATGTTGAAATGCTAACCCTTAAGTCAGTATTAGATGGTGTGGCCCCTGGGAGGTAATTAGATCATGAGGGTTTAGTGCCCAAGAGCTAGCTCTCCCCTTCCACCACGTAAAGGCACAGTGAGAATGTGCCATCTATGAACCAGGAAAAGACCCTCCAACACCAAAACTGCCAGTGCCTTGATCTTGGACTTCTCAGTCCCCAGAACTGTGAGAAAAAAATGTCTACTGTTTAAAAGCTACCCAATCTATGGCACTTTGTTACCACAGCCCAAACAGACCAAAACAACTTTGTGTTATTAGTAACTGGTTATACATAAAACCTGTATCAAAACAAGTATTTAAGAGAACACTTTATTTCTATAAACTGACAAATGCTCAATATATGAGGGGCAACCCTCCAAAAAAACCTGAATTGTATTTTAGAGTGTGAGCCCCTTGTAGTACAGGCTTCTCTCACTAGATGAGTGTTCTAGAGGTTACATTTTGGAAGAAATATCCCAAGCTGTGGCAAACAGGTAGCTGGTTCTTCCACCCTGACATCACACCTGCTCAGTACTTTTTGACCAAAAACAGTATGACTCCCATGCCCCACCTTCCCTATTCACCCAATCTCACCCCTATCGACTTTGTGTTTGCTTGTTTCCACAGATGAAAAAAG